GATTGTGTATGTACGTGTTATGATTCCAAGTCGTGATTTATGTAGAAAACTATTATGCCAAACTGTGTAGAGATTGTGATGTTGGTTACACCTCCACCCGCATATATTGGGGTGAGGCGGCAAGGCCACTTTGTGTATGATTTTGGTATTGTTGTTGCACCACCACCCACCTATATATATTGGGGTTAGGCGGCACGGACGCTTTGTGTAGGTATTGGTATCGTTGATGCATTTCCACCCGCATATATTGGGATGAGGTGGCGGGGCCGCTTGTGTGAAAATGGGTATTGTGTTTACACCTCCACCCGCATATATTGGGGTGAGGCGGCAGGGCCGTTTGAGTAGAGATTTGGTATTGTGCTTACACCTCTACCTTCATACATTGGAGTGAGGCGACGAGGCCTCTTTGTGTGAAAATGGTTACATAGGATCTCATCTTAAATTCTATAAATGTTAATGATAGCACTTGATGAGCTTGCTTTAGTTTAAACGGGTATCTATGTTGTTCTATTGTCGCCTTGATTCATCATATTCATACTGTATTTTCGAGTTCTTAAATTGGTGTTTGGGTTGATTACTAGTACTATTCAACATGTATTAACGTCCCTTTTTCTGCGGGCGCTGTATCTTTAATGGATCCAGGTTGTTCCACAGCGGAGAATACTGACCGGTGATTGCAGTGCTCATTCTTCCCAGCTGACTTTGTGAGCCCTATCTCATTTCGGGGTTGTGCATCTTTTGTTTAGTATGCGTTATCGTGTTTTGAGGTATAGCCGGAGCCTTTTTGCCAGCACTATCATTGTACTCTTTGGTATTTATAGAGGCTCAGTAGACTAAGTGTGGGTTGTATATGGGTGTTGGGAATGATAAACAAGTTATGTTGTGATTAAATCACTTGTTCCACTTTGAACCATGAAGGTGTGTGTGTTTTGAGATCTTAAAATGAAGTAATTTATGGTAAGAAATTGGTATTGCAGACATGATCATCTTATTGTCCGATTACTGAAGATACACACGATGTGCAAACCAATCAAAATATACCCCAGTACGTATAATATAACAATTTAAAATGTGAACACGAAGCAATGGTGGGATTACGCTTCACGAATGCGGCCAACACTACGCGAACGCGAAGAGCAAGGGGCCTGGGAGGGGAAAACTAGGGTTGTTCTATGCGAACGCGAGCCAAGGCTCACGAACGCGATGGCCAGGGGGATAGACCATCGCGAACGCGTGCATCCGCCCGTGAACGCGAAGGCCTTTGGCCGCTGCTGCTTCACGATCGCGTCAGGTGTTTCGCGAACGTGATGAACACCTGACGCTCAAACTTTAAAATATTCCCAACACGAGATTTCACCCATTTTTCACCATTTTCTCATTAGGGCTCCACCCACGGGTAGTGCACCCTGGGTCTGATATACAACAGCTACCTGCCCATGAGCCTGTGCGGTAGGGGTCTGTGCTCCCCCGCCCGCTTGAGATGTGACTGGGTCTGCCGGAAATAAACTGGCCTGAGTCATAGTGTCCATGAACCGCAACATACGACCCATGACATCCTGGAATCCCAATGCAGATGTGAAATCCACCGGAGCTGGCTCTGCCACAAGCACCTTACCTTATTTCTCAATAATGGGATTCTCTGCTGGACCCGCTGGCGGCATAACTGGAACAGTCCCTGGACGTCCTTGTCCTCTACCATGGGCTGGAGCCCTCCCTTGGGCTCTGCCTTGTCCTCTAACAACTGGGGGAGTAGCTCTTCCCTGGTCTGGAACCTCATTAGAGCGCGTTCTCACCATCTGTGAGAGAATAAGAGAAAGATATTTAATACTACAGCAATTGCACGATGGAATATGAAGAAAAGTAGTTTTCCTAACACAAATTCTCACACACACATTGCACATGACTCAATCAAGACAATTCTGTTCAACTTTCAAGTCAAGTAAGCACATATAATTGAAAAACTTTAAGCAATAATGCATTAAGTGACATACAAGTCAAACAACTAAGAAAAATGCATCACAGAGTAGGCTTTTTATTTTACTTAGGCATCACAATTCAAATCAAATACAATAGAAAGACAGAGCGCATTCCATAGCCTAATATACCAGCACCAAACATGTCAACAGGTATCTCAGAGCAACTCAGTTTTCTTCCTATCTTACTCCTTAAAAAAACCTGATTCAAGCTACACCCTTGGAAAAGAACTGGCGCCCAAAGAAAAACCAAGGGAGTGCCTAGTTGGATCGGGCTGCACGCCGTAGCAGTACCTGGATCGGGCTGCACGCCGCAGTAATATATGGATCGGGCTGCACGCCGCAACAGTATTTGGTCGGGCTGCACGCCGCAACAATATAGCGCTTGGCTGTAGGAGCTCCTCCGGAGTCTGTACACATCCCCAGTGAGCGCAGGTACCTTGAGTGTGAGTATTGAGGCTGAGAGCCGAGCGATTGAGCTATCGAGATAGATAAGTGACAGTAGCCCCTGTGAGGTTGTGTATGACTTTTATTTATTGATGCATATTGTTGCTAGTCATTTCTGTTGTGATGGTTTGAAGGACTTATACTATTTCATATGAGCTGAAACGTTTTGATTTTAAAGAACTGGTTTGAAAGCATGCCTAAATTCCTCTACTGAAATTTCTGAAAAGAACTGTATTATATGTTTCTCGGCTTTGTTTTCTTAGTTCCTTATTTATTTCTTTTACTTGCTGAGTTGGTTGTACTCATGCTACACCCTACACTTCATGCGCAGATCTAGGTGTGTTTGATAACGGAGGTCGTTGAGTTCGGGTGCGATCGAGCACCGGAGACTACGAGGTAGCTACCGGCGTCCGCAGGACCTTGTCTCTCCTTCTATATTTCTTTCTATCTTGTATTGATACTTAGACGCTAGTTGTATTAGTTTGGTTATTTAGATGCTCATGACTTAGTGACACTCCAATGTTTGGGGCTGGTTCCGCATTTTGATTTTTATATCGAGTCCAATAGTGGTTTTTATGATATGAAAAAGTTTAAAACTACCTTTTATTGAACTACTGAAGTATTTTGGGAAAGTCGGCTTGCTTAGTACCATCGATAGGCACCATCACGACAAGTTAGGTTTTTGGGTCGTGACATGTTCCTTTTTGATGGTGTACATGTGGATGGTGAGAAACCGGCAGGTTTCTGGTTGATGTAGACTTTGCAAAAAACTAATCAGTGGTTTGGTTTGGTGTTTGACATTCTTAGGAAAAGTTGGACAATATTTTATTTGGTTATTAAATTTGATCTTTACTTGCAATTTTCTTGATGTTTACTTGATTTATTTGCATATCTTATTATATGTTGGATTGTTGGATGAGGAGGGTACATTATGTTATTGTGTGCACCAAGGTTGTTTTTATCTATGATTTATGACTTGATCATATTATTATTTTGTACTTGGTGAAGTTATGAACTGTATAGGTGATTAGCGAGTATCATTTATAATTATTGGTTTTATTATCTCTATGAAGTTAGTCATAATACATGCTGAGTACATGGGGTCAGTTGTGGTGCCTTGGAAGTATTCATTTGCAATACTCCTTGATGGTACTAAGGTTCTTTTCTCCACTAAACGTGAAATTAGGGAAAACGCCCAAAAAGTCTCCCCGGGACCACGTCTCGGAATCAGGTAAAAATTACACATTATGAACACCCATTCACTCACGAGTATACTCGAACAAAAATTATCTAAATTCGACGTCAAATTCCCATTCAAATCTCAGGTTTTCAATTGGGGAACCTTTTCCCCTATTTCCAAACTTCTACCCTCAAATTCCTTAATTAGACGAGGAAAACAACAATAGATTAATGTATTATGATCAAAATAGAGTTAAAATTAGTTACCCAATAGTTTTCCTTCAAAATCCCTCGAGAAATCGTCTCCCACCGAGCTCTAAATTGAATTTTGTGTTATGAAATTTCAAACCCTCGAAATCCCCTTTTCTGCCCAGCGATCCTCGTACCTGCGGCCGTTTCTCGCACCTGCGGATACCTCACCAGTGGTCCAAACAGCGCATCTGCGCATCTCATTAAAGCAGCCACGCTCCGCACCTGCGCCCACGTTTCGCACGAGTTTATTGATTATCATACTGACATGTTCTCTAACTTGTCCCTATTAAAAATAATTGTGATTAAGTTTTATTATTTACTGAGCTAGAGACTTACTCCCCGTTATTTTTTCCTAGAGACTGAAGCTGATACAGGCATGGATTTCGTTAGCTAGAGCCCACAAGTTGGCATTTTTGGTAAGCCCCACATTGCTTAGCATGGGCAAAGATTTTATTTAATTGCTACCGTGCTTTATCTAATTTATCTTAGAGTCGCTCCATAGACATTTTTATCAGTTTCATCAGTATTCATTTGTTATTATGGACTAGCGACTAGTATTATAATTTTCTATATTTTAGAGATGGATTTAGCATTATTGTGTTGACAAAGATGGAAAATATTGGTGTAGACTTGTTTTTTGTTAGTTTATAAAGGTTACGACTTGTTTTGATTGATATTGGTTGACTGTCTTATTGATATATGAGACAGATTTATTTTGTGTGGTTCTAAAATAGGGGAAGATTTGTCCGTTTTTTCTTAAAATACCGGTGAGGTTTAGTTAGAGTACTTGCTTCTAAGCGACGGTCATAATTTTTATAATGAATAAGACAGTCCCTTGATTAGAAAGAGTTGCGAATGCAAGCGACCAGGTATATCAAACGTGGATTAAACATCAATATAAAGCTGGGCCGGCAAGGCCATCATAACTACTACATCTGACAAACCCAAGCTGACGAACTCTGAGTACTGTATGTGGAGGTCCACTAATAAAGAAAACTCCGAAGGAGGTTGTCTCAATGAACATGAAATTAGCAAGGTGAGACGATGAATAAAAAGAATAACAGACAAGAATTTTCTGTTAAATCTTTAACTCAAATAGTATGATTTATAAAGATGTTTAAGTGCAGACAGCAAAGAAGAGGAGTTTACCTTATTTTCTGAAAGTCGATAAGTCGAGCTGTAGACCTTATGGGATTAAAAGTCCTGCATTTGCAACCATGCAATTTACATATTGGTGGAGGTGAAAATTTTCCATCTGGAAAGTCACGAGTAATACTGGTTCCGCATTTAGTACAGGCAAAATCCATTTGCATCACCAGAGGCTTGACTGTGCTGACTTTTACCACTGTACCACGTACATAGACAAGCCTATCTGTCAATTGAAAGCATCATACTCAATTATTTAGAATCTAAGCAGCATTTAACCAGTGTTATCAAAGGCGTAAAGCGCAAAAAAGCTCTAACGTCTACTGGGGCTAAGCGCAAATAAAGCGTGAGCTTTAATTTAAAAAAAGGCGCAAATGGAGAAAAACTACAAATGTGTAGTGTAGTCCAAGACTAATATCTATAAGCATGAATACCAAATGTACACAAAGAAATTGAAGAAAATTTATTATAAAATAAAATATCAATTATTTAGTGTCGCCTCTTCAGGATTACGCTCATCGGTAAGGAAAAGTATGCCTTAGAGCCTTGATGACAGCACTGAAGCGCCCCCTAAGCGAGGCGAAGCGCTCAACACGTTTTGAGCCTCGCTTTAGGGCTTAAGTGCGACTTAAGCCCTAACTTTGATAACGCTGCATTAAACTACTTCATATCTAAAGAGTAAATGTAAAGTTGAATATCATCTTTTACCAATATAAGCGGCTTTTAGGTTCTTCAATGCAATTACTGATTCAGGGTAGTTGTGGAGGCGGATATTTATCTTCACAAAATCATCAAAACTTTCATCTCCCAATTTCTCAAAGAAAACCTGCTAGCATCAGCAACACACTGATACAACTAAGATAAAACGATATAAATATGTGAATAAATTGAATTTCATAAATATAAACCTACTACCTTGTGTAATGAAGCACTCATACACAACAGAGCATCTTTAGGTTTACTCTCTAAAATTACACAAAATTCCTGTAGTTCAGAAAGTTTACGGAACTGGAGAAAGTCCAGTGGCAATGAGAACGTGCCATCAACCTCCTTCACCTAGAAATAACAATTCAATGTCAGTCCTTCACCTTTATCATGTGGTAATTAAGACCTCATACTCGAGATCCCTACCGGCAAAGTAATTCGCCAGTCCATAAGGTGCCCCGATATGACTAACAACGAGGCCGAGTATGAGGTCTTAATTTCAAGATTGAGACTAGTACTTAAATATGGGGCTAAGCAGTTGAAATTTCGTTGTGATTCACAGCTCGTAGTCAACCAAGTCACAAGGATTTTCCAAATCAAAGAACAAAGGTTTCAAAAATATCAAACAGAGATTTTTTAAAAAATGCAATAGTGATATTTTGGCCCAGCTGATTTTGGGATTTGGAATTTTGCTAAAATGTAGGTAAAATCTATGGTCAAATATGTGTTTACCAAATAAAACCCAAATTTATTTTGACAAAATTTATGGCCAAACAGGGCTTAAGTTACGAGTTCGGCCGATGAAATTTATCTTAGATACATACATGCATTGCCAATGGAAATTCTAGCGGCTAGAGAAACATAGTCAATCGCATCCACAGAATAGATTGGCTTTGGCGTCTTCGGACACTTTCCCTGGTTTCTGTTCTGCTTTCTCAGCTGGTATTTGACAACATAAAGAAAAGAAACTAAAGGGAAAGAATAGTACGTAGTACTAACAAATTAATAGAGCTCCCAACTCATTTTGTATCGTATTTCGAGAACATAATAGAAAAAAGAAGAGGACGAGATATGCAGATCTTGAATGTAAAACAAGTAGTAAGAAGCAGCGTGTGGTTTTGGGATTTGACGAAGAAGAATAAAGGGAGGAAAAAAAGGAGAAAGATGCCGTTGACTGAAGCTTTCATACTGTTGGTTTCGACCAATTTCTCAGTCCAATTGAAATTGGAGATACACAATCTCAAGTTTCACGTGTGCGATTGTGAAAGACATGGCTAGCTATTTTTTGTGATATATAGGTGATGTATTTTGCTAGTTAATGTACAAATGTTATGTATTGATTATGTACAAACCTGGATAAACTACAGGTAACGCTACATCGATTCAAGGAGTAGACCTTGCAACATGTACCCCGAGATCAAAACAACGAAGTCGATGCTCTAGCTAACTTGGGGTCGTTCGTTGATGACGATGAGTTCAACTCGGGAACGGTCATGCAACTCATGAAATCGGTAGTGGAAGAAGGAATAAGTTATATGTATATGTGCAATATGAAATCCATTATGAACACATTTATTGCGTGCTTCTATTGTGCTCCACTTAGAATTTTTACACGTTATAAATACAAAATTCTTATGAAGTTAAAATTGAGAGACATTCAGTTTTTGAAGTCAACCAATTCGGACGATAAGGAATCAAAGAAGTGAAGTTTTTCTAACAGTTCCGTAGCCTCTCGAAGAAAAATACAGATGTCTCCGTACCTATTCGCAAGACTCTACTAAACCTGCTTATGACTCGTAACACCTATGAACCTAGAGTTCTGATATAAACTTGTCACGACCCCAATTTCCCTCCATAGAATGTCGTGATGGCACCTAGTCTCTACGACTAGGTAAGACTAACAAATAATAATAACTTGGCAGAAACAATTATCAAAATACTAAAACAAAGCTAAATAACTGATATAACCTTCCACTACAAACATAATCCCAACAATACGCTCCCTAAAACCGGTAGAACTGAATTATAAGATATATTGAGTAAAACTAGGATAACTACTGCATCACTGTCTGAAAGAACTATAACAACAACAGAATAAAAGGGAAGGTGACTTCGAGGACTACAGATGTGGAACATGTATACCTTGAAATCTCCCAAGCAACAACTCAATCAACTCTAGCATCCGACACAGGCAGACGTACCTGGATCTGCACAAAAATGTGCAGAAATATAGTATGGGTATACCATAATGGTACCCAATAAGTATCAAGCCAAACCTCAACAGAGTAGTGACGAGGCCAGGTCAAGACACCTACTAGGATATAAATAGAGAGTATGAAAATGTAATAAGGGCAAATAATGGAAGTGAAGAAATAACTAATACGAAACAAGATAATAACGTGAACTAATACCGGAGATCAACATGGAAATAGCAAAAAAAGAAGCAACTAAAAAGACTACAATGATCATATATGGACATCAACTGCTAGAACAATAAAGAATTGAAACAACAAGAAATGTTTCCACCAAAACTCTTTGGAACATGGAATAAACAACAATAATCATAACGAGGTACCGCCTCGTGTACAATAAAATCACAACTGAGGTACTTCCTCGTATAATAAAGAATCACTATCGAGGTACCGCCTCGTGTACAATAAAATCACAACTGAGGTACTTCCTCGTATAATAAAGAATCACTATCGAGGTACCGCCTCGTATAATCAAGAATTACAATCGAGGTATCGCCTCGTATTCACATTTCTCAACTTCCATCATAATCTTTCCTTATACCACCGCGCGAGCCTTACATTTGAAATAAGTTTTGAAAATAGTTTTCCCAAAATAGCTACATGCACTTTAGCCCAACTTATGACACCATTTGCCCTCATATTTTATAAATATCATTAATACTTTCAAAATATCATTCTGCATCATCACCAATTTACAAGAGTCATATAAGTATTTTCTATAATATTTTCATAAATTTTAAGGCTTTAAAATTAATTTTTCTTGCATTTAAATTATTCAAATATTTATTAATTACTCCTTCAAATTATTTGTGATGAATTAATCATCCAAACTTAATACTTTTGAGTACTTTAATTTAGAACATTACGGTTTATGGCTCTATGTACTAGTTAGTATTCAAACCGAATAAACCAAAACCGAAAGGAGAAAAATTAAACCATACTGAGTTTAATTAGGTACGGTATTGATATAGAATTTTAAGAAATTGAATACCGAAAATACCGAATCGAAATATCTAAATAACATACCGTACCGTACCGACCCACGATCACCCCTACCTAGAAGAGAGGGTATAATTTGACAATCTCACAACCCACATGTTCTTGCCCCTATTCAGACATAATGCTTAAAGTACACAACTGCAATTTAAGCAAATAACTCAACAGCAAAAGAATGCCCGATGTGGGTCCTAACAGTACCAGCACAAAGCCTAAACATAATTTATAACATAAATCACAGCTCAAATTCTCTGACACATAGAGTAGACATGAGTAATAGCAAGATTCAGTGACTACACAGTTTTACGGAATCAACCGAGTCACAATTACTATAGTGCACGCCTACACGCCTTTCACCTAGCATGTGTGTCACCTCAACACCAATCACATAACACGTATTTTAGGGATTCATATCCTCATAACCAAGTTTAGAAGTGTAACTTACCTCAAACTGTGCAAATATCTACTCTAACAAGCCCTTGCCTTAAGAATCGTGTTCCGAACGACTCAAATCTAGCCACAAACAACTCGATACAATCAACACAAGCTATAGGAATCAATCCATATGAAAAAGCTAAATTCTTTAACAAAAGTCAAAAAGTCAACCACAGGCCCTCATCTCGGAATCCAACAAAATTAGAAAAATCAGAACACCCATTCAACTACGAGTCCAACCATACCAAAATTACTCAATTCCGATCAGAACTCGATCTTCAAATCCTCAAAGTTAAGCCTATGAAGTTCCTACAATTTTTTCCAATTTCTCTAACTCAAAACACTAATTAAATGATAAAAATAATGATAGATTCACGTATATTAACCAAATCCAAGTTAGAATCACTTACCCCAATTAATTCCTTGAAAATTCCTCAAAGAATCGCCTCAATCCGAGATCCCAAAATCCAATTATGAAATATAACTCTAACCCTTGTTATTGATATTTAACAGTCTGCCCAGATGTTCCTCTAAGAGATCGCAAAATTTTCCTCGCGATTGTGAAGAACAAAATAATATGTCCTAAAAAATAGCCTATGTGAACGCGATGATCAAGTCATGAGCGCGATGGTCATCACANTAATGATAGATTCACGTATATTAACCAAATCCAAGTTAGAATCACTTACCCCAATTAATTCCTTGAAAATTCCTCAAAGAATCGCCTCAATCCGAGATCCCAAAATCCAATTATGAAATATAACTCTAACCCTTGTTATTGATATTTAACAGTCTGCCCAGATGTTCCTCTAAGAGATCGCAAAATTTTCCTCGCGATTGTGAAGAACAAAATAATATGTCCTAAAAAATAGCCTATGTGAACGCGATGATC